ATCCGACTCCGATGCCGCCAATTATATCACTGGCGATTTTCAATTATTGACTAGCCACTGTTAGACTCTATCACAGTCTTACTGCCGCTACGTCGGCGCGTCTTGATCGGATCTGCCGTGATCAACCTAGAAACGTTCCATTGCAGCGGTTTACGCTGATCAGGCACAATCCTTTGTGGTCGTACTCACTTTGCTCTATATGACTGAGACATTTTCACGATGGCTTCAACATCATCGAATTCGTCGCTTTTCCACCGATCCCTAGAAAAGGCATATCCCACTGCCGTCAATGGCGAAGGAGTCTACCTTGTAACCTCAGACGGACGCAAGGTATTTGATGGTAGCAGTGGAGCTGCCGTATCAAGTCTGGGTCACGGGAACGAAGAGATTATTGATGCAATCTGTCAGCAAGCCAGAAGTCTTGCCTTCGCTCATTCATCCTTCTTTACGTCAGATCCTGCAGAAGAGCTTGCTCAGGTGCTACTGAAGAACAGCCAAGATGCGTTTGCCAAGGTTCTTTTCCTCACATCGGGCTCTGAAGCAGTTGAGTCGGCTTTGAAGCTTGCTCGACAATATCATGTCTACAACGGGCAACTAGAACGGGTGAACTTTATTGGCAGGCTCAATTCGTATCACGGAAATACACTCGGCGCGCTCGCGGCCGGGAACAATCCAGCTCGACGGGATACCTTCGCGCCCATTCTGGCGCCTGTGTTTCATCATGTCCAGCGCTGCTTCTACCAGGCAGACGGACAGGGGCTTGGTGAGAAGGCTTACGAGGATAAATTGATCGCTGAATATGAGGAGACGTTCGCACGGCTAGGACTTGAGACGATTGCTGCTGTAATAGTAGAACCGGTTGTTGGCGCTACCATAGGATCCGTCCCAGCCACGCAGTCATATCTCCCACGTCTGTCTGAGCTCTGCAAGAGACATGGAGCACTTCTGATCTACGACGAAGTCATGTGTGGCATGGGGCGAGTTGGAAGTTATCACGCTTGGGAGAGCCTTGGGGGCGTTGCACCTGATCTGCAAACAATTGGCAAGGGGCTCGGCGCAGGGTATCAACCGTTATCGGCTGTTTTGATTGGGAAGACTGTGTACGAGACCTTCCAGCAGCATTCCAAGGGTTCAAAGACCTTTCTAAGCGGACACACGTTTCAAGGTCATTCGATGGGATGCGCTGGGGCACTTGCGGTGCAGAAGATACTTGAACGCGACAACCTCGTCAGCAACTGCCAGCGCATGGGACAAGTTCTCTACGATACCCTCTTTGCGGAATTGCCGACCCAGTTCAAACAGAACAGCGGCAAACTAAGAGGCCTAGGACTCTTCAGAACCGTAGACTTTGGAGATATGGGCAAAGCATACGGCGGTCCGTTGGCCAAAGAGGTCGCTGAAAAGTCATTCCAATTAGGGGCAGCTGTGTACCTATGTTCTCCGGTAGTCGATGCAATATTGTTCTGCCCTCCCTTCATCATGACGGAGGAAGAGACAGTCAAGTTAGCTAGGATATTCATTCAGGCTCTGAGAGCAGTGTTAGATACTCGAAAATAGACTTTCGATTATAATTAAGATCAATAAGTTGTCTACACAGGGCCTTAGAATCGATCTGTAAAAATTGGACACAAATTTGGCACGATAGAAGATGAGTTCTCGTATTAAGGGACAGATTTGCTGTGATGAAATGGGATGACTAAGGTCCACCACAGGGTACGAGCTATCGCCTCCATCATTTCAAGGTCGCAATCGATGTACATCAGAGTGGACATTCAGGGATCCTACAAGTAATACTTCACAATGAGCACATACCCCGTAAGAGCTGTTCTCACCAACCCTGAACTTCTCCAGTATATCCTGCTTCAATGCGATCTTCGTCTGCTCTTGACGGCCGCCCAGCGCGTATGCCGCCTGTGGCATGCGGCCGTCGCCACATCTCCAGAAATCCAGAAGCACCTGTACTTCCAGCCCGTTGCAAACAACACCGAGCAGACTCCGGCACAGGTAACCACAAACCCATTGCTGCGTGAGCTCTTCAGCCACTGGATGCGCCGTTCCCGACCCGAGACAGGCTTCGTCACACGCGATGAAATGCTCACCCTTCCTATAGCCGATGCCGCCCGCCGGGATGCCTTCCTACGATCCAACGCTTCTTGGCGGCGCATGCTCGTCGCCCAGCCGGCTGTCACGTCACTCGGCCTGTTGAAACAGCTGCCGCGCATCAGAGAGTACTTCGCACATTTGCAAGAGCAGATCTTCTATCCCGAAGGGCTGCGGATGGGCGAGTTGGTCGACCTCACCATCCAGATCATCAAGGAGGAAAGGGGGTATGCGACGTTCCGAGTCGCTTGGAGCCGGCCATTCGGGCAGGAGGAGTATCTTTCCCTGCTACTGCAGCAGTTTAATAGGGGGCTAATGTCCTTTGGTCCGGAAGTTGAGCTTATTCTTCTCTTTATGCTTGGCCGGCCGTGGGTGCCGACAGGAGAAGAGTTGCCGGATCGGTGGCCGGAAGACATCAACTCACGATTTCAAAGTGAAGACTTTCAAGCACGCGCTTTGGTTTTGAATAGGCTGCCTAGTGGGTATGAGAGTCAGGGCATGGCATTCTATCAGCAATGATGGATGCAAGAAACAGGATGTTTGATCGTATACGCTGGAAGAAACATAATAGAACTACAGAACTATGGAGTCGCGAACCGTGCCATGCATCATACAATCATCTGTGACAAGAACTCCTATGATATCGAGCTATCAAACCGGCCAGACCAATCCATTCCTTTTGTCTGATATTTCCAAACCCAAGGCACACGGTTTAAGATTCATTAGATCATTGGTATCTCCGCTCCGGAGGTCGGTCATAGGCTTCATGCGGCCGTAGCTGTCTTTGTAGTTGGGTGACCGGGTCGCGTGCGTCTCGCGGGTCAGCTCTCGCGTCCCTCATCTGCATGTCTTGCGCGTAAGGGCCAGGAGGCGGGCCGCGAGCATCGTATGTCGCACCTGGAGTATAGCTTCGCGGAGGACCGGGCTCTCTCAAGTCTCTGCCTTGTCCTGGACCAGGAGTACTGGCATAACGAGCGTATGTTGGCTGGGGAGGTTGAGGCGGGCCGGGATCACGTGGATTAGACGCGGGAGGATATCGTCCGCTGAGCGACGATTGATGTTGATGGCCTATCATCCGGGGATCATTGCCGCCGCGAGCATCATGGACAGGCGGGTATGCACTGCGATCATCTCGGAGACTATCGCGGAAGCTATGCTGTGGCGGCGCTGAGGGCCACGATCCTTGTGGTGGCATGGCGTTGCTGGCCGGTGGTGGCTTCGTGGGAGCACCGTGTTGCGCCCCCCAAGCAGACTGGGTCGGCGGAGGTTGGTTCGCCTTCGGTGGCGGCCACGCAGTTTGTTGCTGCTGCATACTTGCCGGTGACGGCTCTTGCCGCTGGGTTGGCGGCCATGCAGTCTCTCGACTTTGCTGAACGGGGTCACGTCGACCAGCAGGCGGAGGGTGACCGGCGTACTGAGGAGTGGGAGAGGCAGCATGAGGCTGCGAAACAGGCGGGCCATAAGGATAGGCCGGGCCCTGTGATTGATACCCCATCTGTGAGTGTTGAGAAGGTGGGGGGTAATGGTGAGATTGGGGAGAATTTGAAGCCGGTGGCTGGTGCTGCGGTGGGTATGCGTGACGGGCATAATAATCACGCTCAGCAGCAGATGCCGCTTCCACCGGGGAGACCATGGAGCCTCTGGGTACGTTCATGTGTTGCGGCTGAGGAGATTGTGCCTGTGTTGGGTTATATGGCTTCAATGAAGGTATAGCAGACTGCACAGGAGTAGCGCGTGAGTACGAGCCATACACGGGAGTCTCTTCCCGGCGTAGCTGGCCAGCAGTAGAAGGAGGGGCTCGAGACGGCATCGCTTGTGGCGGCGGACTCGACGATAGCTTGAGACCAGAACCAGCGACTTCACTGACTCTCTTAGGTGGAGGTGGCGCGGGGGTTGGATCATCATTGAGCAAGGCCATCAAGCTGGACGTCTTACGTTCTGGAGGTCGAGCTGCTGGAGGTGCCAGGGAAGACGCCGGCGGTTGGGGTGGAGGTGCCGCATACGGGTCTTGCATAGTTGTCGATAGAGGTCGCCGCATTGCCGAAGAAGGCCGTTCGATGGAAGGAGACATTGTGGGAGGTGGTCCCTGCTCACCAACAAGATTCCGCACAGCTTGCTGCGATGCTGGCGGATATGATGGCGCACCGGAGACAATTCCTCGTGGGGCCTCTGCTGAGCGAGCCAGCGGCATTGGCTCATTCCGTGCAGCAGCAGCCCTTGCGATGGGTTGAGGGGCCTCTCTGGGTGCAAATGGCTCATATCGTTGACTTTGTTCTGGCTCCTGCTTAAGTGGAATCGGTGGCCGTTCAACAAGCCGTGGTTCCTCCTTGGGCTGCATGTCAGAACGCCGCATCTTCCCTGCATTTGGGCTCCCGTCATGGGGGTATTCATGGAGCCAACCCGGCCCATGCGGAGAACCTGCGATGGGTTTCTGAGATATCCGAACAGCTTGTGGCTGAGAGGTCGCGGATTCCGAGTCTGGGTCGGTGTACCCATGAGATGGCAGGGGCGCTCGCAATGGCCGTGCAGTCGGTGACATCGCTTGCGTGGATGGCTGCGCTTGTTGCTGTTGCTGCACCTGCAATGGTTGTGCCGCGCCTTGTGCGACATTTGTAGGAGGAGCCTGTGCAATTGCAACAGGGACTTGAAAACGGCTGAATGGCTGATTGCTGGGTTGAGGAGGATGACTCTCGAGTTTCGTAGGTACGTCCTCTGGTGCCTCAGCAGCCGCCAGGGGTCGGTGAAGGGTCGCAGGCGTGTCATATCGCTTGTTACGCGGACCTTGTGTCATGGTTGGAGGAGGTGGTAGTTTCTCGCCACGGGCGCGCTTCTGATCGGCCTCTGAAGCCATAGCTTCCCATTCCACCTTGCCGGCATCTTTCTGCCTGACGTAATAATTCTTAACCTATAAAGAAAAGCCGTTAGCGTCTGGCTTATTGCAAGGAACGCGACAATACCTACCATCACGTGGGTTTTTGTCTGCATGTGGCCAGCAATGGAGCCCCAGTCAGTGCCAAAAGATCTAAGCAGTGCAGGGAATTCGTTGGATTCAGAGACGCTCCAGTAGCTTGACGCTTGTTGGGGCGTGCGCATTCGATCCGGCGCAGCGTGCTGATTGATATCAAAAGTCGCGATTGACGGAGGAGGCGGTGGGGGTTCCGGCCTGAGCGACGGCGGCGCCATGACCTCCGAGATTGAAGACCCTGCAGCCGTCGGTACGGCTCTCTCAGGGCTAAGAAGAGGTTGAGCTGGCACCAGGGGCGGCTGCATGCCCGCCCCCGGAGATCCGTCAAGCTGCATGGGCACACGTCCCAAGTCTGCAGGTGTCTGAGGCGACAAGAATTCTGGGCCTTGAGCTCTGGAGTTGGACCGAGACCTGTTTGCTTTGGCGGCAACCGCTGGCGTAGGAGCCAGAGTCTGGGCCGGCTTAGCCTGTTTAGGTTCCTTCTCTCTGCCACGTCTTCTCCTTCTGTCGATCTTCTCAGTACCGCTATCATTCTTCGCTCCTGCGTGCCGTCTGCCGGGTGTAGCAGTACCATCAGAATCAGCAGCAGGTGTTGCCTCATGATGATTGGGACCAAAGGTGGGTGCGGCCGCTCTTCGTGGGCGCCGGCGCTCTCCATTCTCGCCAGTCTCATGATTCTCCTCGGTGTTTTCGTCGCCGATGCCAAGGACTTCAGTCACCAGTGCACTAGACCGCTGCTTGCCACGGCCACCCTTCTTCCGTCTTCTAGGCTGCTTCTTGAGCTTCTCCTTGAGATTGAGATCCTTCTTCTTTATATAGTAGTACTGAATGCAAGAGTGGAAATCCCTGGTCGGAATATTCTCTGCAATCTTACCCCACTGCTTTGGGAACTCAAGATATGCTTTCTCAAACTGCTCTGCCTCCTCCTCAGTGAAGTTTGCCACAGGTGGAAGAACCTGCCAGGTCGCAACGAGGCGTTCAGGGGGAAGGAACCCAGAGTGATCGATAAAGAGATCCTTCTCACGTTCTTCGATACTCCAGTACATGTCTGGAATCTCAGCCTCCTTCTCGCTGCGATACTTCTCCTTCTGCGCACGCTCCTCCCGCTCCCGCCTCTCGTTCTCTGCCTGAAGAGACTCTTGGAGGGCCCGCTCGAGATCACGTTCGGTCGCAAATCTACCCGTACGTCGACCTTCCGGTTTGCCCTCATGGCTAGCAGGGTGCGGTGCGGTGAAGTCTCCGTTTGGATTCCCAGTGGAGAATTTGTCGCGGCTTTTCACAGCAATAGGGTCTTCGGAGAGCGTGAAGCGGAGATACATCTCGTAGTCTTCAGAGTATTCTTGCCTGGCTTCTTCCTGAGCAGCCATGGTGACAATTGCGCTGTCGCGCATAAGGCTGGCGACAAATGCGTGTACGTCGGGGGACGGGTCGAGAGACTTCATAAATTGCCTGTCTCTGAACCAAGGCCGACATTGATAGTGGGGAAGTTCGTCAATTGGAGGTGTCTTCATGTACTGTCGGACAGTTTCGATAGTGGCATAATCAATCTCCTCGATCTCGGTCTCATCGTCATCATCCTCCATCTCCATCTGAGTCGGGGTACTGAGCCCTGTTGGAGGTTGTTCGAATCCAGGGGGTAGCAGATGATGTGCGGCTTCTCCAGGTGTACCATTCATCACGGTTGAATCAGGCTCCGATGTGGGCAGACCATTTCTGCTTTGTCCCGCGTCATCCATGTCCACGTCTCCCGTCTCATCCTTCTGTTCGGCGTGCTCAACAGTTGGTATGGGCAGATGCGCTGTATCAATATCCATTTCTTCTACCTTAGGCTGTGGTTCTTCCGAAGCTGCAGGTTCTCCTGCCTGGTCTGCGAGAGGTGGCGCACCGCTGTCTGTAATAGTGGCAGGCTTTGCTGATACATCTGGGTCGGTAACAGAGGTCTTGTCACTTGGTCCAGCTTGTGGCTTGGGCATCTCAAATCCTTCGGGTAATGGGCCCAAGAGAGTCTTCATGCCATCCGAATCGGTCGCAAGGGATACCAGGGCTTCATGAGAGACGGAAGCGTATCGTACAACGAAGTCCGTAGGTACCGGTTCCCCAGCACTCTCATTCTTTTTCAGCTCCGCTTCCGCTTTGGCAATTTCCATCTCGAAGTAATCGTCAATATCCTCATCATCTGATTCGGACGAGTGATCAACTGAAGGAAGGGTTGAGACCTTGGGTGGTAAAGCAAACCGAACAGTAGGAATACGCAATGGGGCCCTTTTCTTCCGTGGAATCTGATCTGCATCCTTTGGCTCTTCAGATTTCGCTTGGCCACCTTCTTGGTTTCGAGGTGCGGCCCTAGCTACAGCAGGACTTTCGGACTTCGGTATGGTGGGAGATGTTGCGGATGCTATACTTCCTCTATCGGAGGGTTCTGTGCCCCTAGATTTGTTGTCGGATGGTACGAGAGATGCTCTTAAGTCTCGATCTACTGAAGAGCGAGCGGACTGAGTACCGCGCTCCGTGTCGAAAGTAATTTCTCCGGGTTCACTGATGCGGAGAGAGCGTAGCTGCCCGTCGGCCACCGCAATCTGTGAATCAGCGTTCGCACCACTACTGCGAGGCCGTCTTTCAAGATCGCCATGGCTCTCTGAGTTGGATGAATCAGGCCGACCGCCGAATGGTCTGGACTGCTGCGATGCAACAAAGCTCTGTGACCTGCTGATTTTATTGGGGGACTCGGGCACCTTGAGGTTCTTGCCAACTAAGGCAGGGTTGATCCACTGCTTGCTCGAAGGCCGTTGTTGTTTCTGATGCTGAGCACGTGGTCCAGTAGGTATTGGCGGGCTAACATCCGCCAAGGACTTGGATGGGCCGGACGGCGGAACCCGCTGCTCGCCTCCCTGCTGGCCGGCGGACACCGGGCGATCTTCCGCGAGCGCTCTAGGCCCGGTCGGTGGCGCCTTTGAGATTTCGGTTGTTGAAGGTTGCCGACTGGGAACTGAGCCGAATGCTGGGGCCGAGGGGGCTAGCGGTGGCGGCGAGACGTCTTTTGTGGGCGGAGGCGGGTCGTGTGCGATTGAGCCTTGGCGGTCGAGCTTGGGTCGAGCATCCCTATCGCGCAAGTCGCGAGGATCGCGGTCCTCCCTAGAATCCCGGGACCGGACATCAGAATCGATATATCGGTGGCTGTCTCGGTCATCTCGGTCGCGACCCCATCTACCTTCCTGAGATCGGCTCCTAAAACGATCTCGTTCATCATAGAAGTTCCGACCCCGACCACGGTCCAAATCACCACGATTCCAGTCGCCGCGGCCCCTGCCACCACGTCCTCTGTAGCTACCGCCGCGGTAGGACTGAGATGCAAACGGGGGATCAGAGGAAGAGGATCCAGCGGACAATGGACCGTCGCGTGATTCTCTCCTGGCTCGATCTGCATCTACCCCTAAAGGGCCGTCTCGGTCCCGAAAATCTCTTCCGGGAGGAGACCGGCCCCTGCCCTGTGGTGAAGGACGCCGGCCTCGGAAGTTGTCTCTTTCTCTCCAGTCTCTCTCGCGCTCACGGCTGCGATCGTCTCGAAAAGGCGGACCATCTCTCCGATCTCTAAAGTCATCTCGGTCTCGGCCACGGTCCCTGCTATCGTCGCGCCAGCCTCTCCCCCGGCCACGACCTCTGCCTCGGAAATCTCCACTGTACCCGCCGCCACGAGGGCCACTGGGAGGATCAATCAGAGCTTTGGGGCCTCGGGGAGGCTCTCGGCCAGTTAGCGAGTCACGAAACGAGTCTCGGTTGGCTTGAAACGCCGACGCATTCCCTCTCGAGTCTCCAGAAGTCCGTCGACGGTCGCCATCACTGTATTGAGATGCCCGATCATTGTACCGGTCGGGTGATCGGTCCCTAGGTGATCGCGACCGCCTATCGCTGTCATATCTTGCGGTGTACCTCGACCTGGACCCAGATTGTAAGTAAACCTGATGAGAGGGGGGTATGAAATATGGCGCGTCGTAGCAAAAATGATCTTGGTCACTGCTCTGTGGGTAGAACTGATCAAAGGACCACATTCTCGATGCGCGATGCGACAAATGTGGCCTGATACGGGAGGATGGAGGTGGAGATGGTCAGAAACATACATCACGAACGAGGGCCGGCGCCCTAAGCTGTGCGACGTCAAAAGAACACCATGCGCATGCCCTGCTCTTTGGAAAGACTATCTGGCTGGCTGCATGCGTGGACCGCGGATGGAATATCAGTTGACTTTGCAGGATCCTCGGATGAACGAGCAGCTGGCCCACGAGTAATTGCCCTTTGCTGTTCGGCGCTAACCCGCCAGAGTTCAGCTGATTGCGCGCAGCCAAAGCAGGCGCCCGGGACAGTGCAGAGTGGCACAATGAGATGCTGAATGATGCTAGAGATGGGTGAAGGCTGTCGTGATGCGCCGTCTGGAGTCGCGGTGGTCTTTGGCATGGGACGCTGGGATGTGGAGGATTGAAGGGCTTTGGTGGTTGAATGAGGAATTGAAGATGGATGCACGCAAATTGGGAGACATCAAGTTGCCAGCCAGTCAGAGACCAGCAAGTCGCGTGGCGGCGTGACGCTAAGCTCATCTCGGCGGCTTAGCGCCTGACACCTGTTCTAACCTCTTTGGGTCTTAAGCTTGTTTCGGACTGCTGGCAACAGCTGCACACTTGTGCCTAGCAGAGGCCCTCCCCAAAAAAAAGAAAACGTTTCGGAGGCCACTGTAGTGGAAGTACTTTACCTATGCATGCTGAGGTAACCACCTAAAGTTAGCTGCTGCCACCTGCACACAAGGAAGGAAGGATGGATGAATGCGGCGGGACACTGCAAAAAATTCAGCCCTAGGCGTGAGGACCCTGATTCGATGCTAGATGACATAGGACGATAGAGGCGAAAGCTTTAATTCAACACTTCTTTTCATGTAATACACATAGTAGAAGCTTCATCTGAGATGCATCGACGGGACACTTCAGATCTCATTTCTTCCCTTTTGTTCTGAATTTTCCTTCTTTATCTGTGGTAGTTCACTTGGTCTTTTCTCATCACGGTGGTCGCATCCTCACCCCGCCATCGATCGAGCTCACGCACTCATCTTCACACTGCTGGGCATCTATTTGAGTACTTGGCATCTTGACTAGTGAAAAACCACGAGTGTAGACTAGACTTCCACAATGACTTCCGGCCAGCCACCGGCATCTGTGACGGATGCCGTCCTGGTCAAATCGGTCGAGATGCCCGAGGGCTCGCAGAAGGTTGAGGAACTCGACTTCAACAAGTTCAAGGGCAGACCCATCACCGTGGATGATCTCCTCCAGGGTATGAAGCACATGGGCTTCCAGGCCTCATCAATGGGTGAGGCCATCCGCATCATCAACGAAATGGTTAGCAGACGAAAAGGACTGATCTCACTTCTGGCTGCGGCACCCAAACTGACTGGATCTGAAGCGGGCATGGAAAGACCCTGAAACCGGCGAGGGGACCACCATCTTCCTAGGTTACACCTCGAACATGATCTCCTCCGGCCTGAGGGGCGTCTTCCGGTATCTCGTCGAGCACAAGCATGTCTCTGCAGTGGTCACAACCGCGGGTGGCATCGAGGAGGACTTTATCAAGTGCCTCGGTGACACTTACATCTCATCATTTAGTGCGGTGGGCTCAGAATTACGCGCCAAGGGCTTGAATCGCATTGGAAACCTCGTGGTGCCAAATTCCAATTACTGTGCCTTCGAAGACTGGGTAGTCCCCATCCTCGACAAGATGCTCGAGGAGCAGGAGGCTAGCAAAGGGACAGATGATGAAATCCACTGGACGCCCTCAAAAATCATCCACCGTCTAGGAAAGGAGATCAACGACGAGCGCTCAGTGTACTATTGGGCATACAAGAACAACATCCCCGTCTTCTGCCCCGCACTGACCGATGGCAGTCTTGGGGACATGCTCTACTTCCATACCTTCAAAGCATCCCCGAATCAACTCAGGGTGGATATCGTCGAGGACATCCGGCGAATCAACACCATCTCGGTTAGGGCGAAGCGAGCGGGTATGATCATCCTCGGTGGTGGTGTTGTGAAGCATCATATCGCAAATGCTTGCTTGATGCGCAATGGAGCCGAATCTGCCGTCTATATCAACACCGCACAAGAGTTTGACGGAAGTGACGCTGGCGCTAGGCCCGATGAAGCCGTTTCTTGGGGAAAGATCAAGGTCGGGGCTGACAGCGTGAAGGTACGTTATGTGTCGTGGTTACTGCGCCGACGATGGCGGTTTCTTACGTGTTTCCAGGTTTACCTAGAAGCGACCTCGTGTTTCCCATTCATAGTAGCCAATACCTTCGCAAAGGAGACTAACAACTAATATACAGTACGAGATACATAGTTAAAGAGATACCCGGCTGCTTAATGCCGCCTATCCATCAAAATCCATCGGAATCCTCTGCAGCACCGTGGAGCACCTTCCGTCTTCGTATCAGTCAGGCAATCACCAATGCCCCCACTGGCTGTGATCGTGTGTTGCGCCTTACTATGTGGATTGCAGGGTTCTACTCTCCGGCTTGTCATTTGCTGCCGAGCCGTATATGCCATAGCTCTGGTCCACTGGAGTCTTTTGCGCTATTCTGAGCGTTGCGTCCTCTGGCCATGATTCCACGATCAGTTCCGTAGGTAGTTTTCCTACGCCCCGGAGTCACAGCCAATCATGGGATGTAAGAGATGCAAATGGGTGTCCGGGTGGTGGTGGTGGTGGATGTATTTCCTGCAAGTCGTTGCCTTCAGGGTCTTGCATACTCTCTGCGTCTACCCGGCGGCGCTTGTCGTGGTTATCTTGGCCTTCGTTTCCCAAGCTAGACCCAGTGTCTGCTTCTTTTCCCATCTTGCCCTCGTCAGAAATGTTTCTGCCTCTTATTCCACCCCGCAGTGTCACCTCCTTATCCCATAGCGCCGTCCTAATGTTGCTAATGGGGAAATCAACTATCCGCGCCCTCGGAATCCTGCCTACCGCAACAAGTGCATCAAACTCGAAATCATAGCGGCATGCCCTCGCGCTCGAAGACTGTTTTGTCTGATACGGGTCTAATAACCCCTTATTTAGCTCCTGGGCCCGTGATAGAGCCAATAGGCCATGTGCTAGCCTTCTTTCCGGGATTATCGATTGCTCAAACTGGTCGAAAGTTCCAGGGGCCTCAGCTCGCCGATTCTGGGAAGACTCTTCAACGGGCAACCTAGTATCCGCTCGACGCCTAGGAGGGACCTCTGGCCTACTCTTTTGAGGCAGTACCGGAGGCGATTCTCTTACCACAACCTCCGGGTATCCCATCTCCGTGGACCTTGCCACTACCGGCCCAAATGGTACGTTGATCAAAGCTGAGGTCGGGACGAAGCCGGCAGCGTCATATTCGTGATTCCATATCTCCTCCCACGACGGCCGGCGCTCCGTACCAAAAGCCTCGGCTGCTACGACGAGGTTGTCACCCTTGATAGCTATGGGTTGATGATGAATCACCTCAGAAAGCGCGACTGGACGACATCGCTCCGCATGACTTCCCGGAACCTGTGCTCTTATGTCGTACTTCGGCAGCCCCACTGGATTGTATGCTGACGGATTCTTCCATCCATCATGCCAGAAATTTCCCGCAGGAGGAAAGGCTGCTTCAGACTCCAATGAGGTGGGCGAAATGGTGGAAGTCGAGGCGCGGCCATCTGCGTCTTCCCCCTCGAGGGCCTGCTGGCTCTTTTCGCGAGCAAGTGGCTCGTATTGAGACATGTTCATCTCCAGTCTCATCGCACCGGCGAGCTTGGCGGATGGCAGATCGCAAGTCCTCATCGTTGAGACGTCTTCAGTCCGAGTTCTCTTCTTTGCTAGCATATTCGCCGGCGATGGTGAAAACGCATCCGCGGCCCTATTCGCGGTCCGGCGACAGAAACTGAAACCGTTCTTCGCCAGGCTCCTGCAGATATGATATGAACCCGGGTGGACAGAGTGGGCTGGCGAGTATCCTAGAGGAAAGAATGACGCGAGAAAGCACCGAGGGCGTGGAATAGTTGGTGCAGCATGCACACCGAAATCAGACGGGTGGTTTTGAAGCCTTTGTTTGCTCCCACGTCTGGCAATTTCGATAATGTAAACCTAAATTCGCAATTGCAAACGCCCACTCCAACAGCTCTGCTCTTCGTACCGAAAATAGAGCCAACAAGCACTTGTCCCTCTACTGATAATGTGATTCCAAACGGCGATAGTATGCAGACATCAGCTTAGATACGACTGAGGACCTGCGTTTCCATGCGCAATCGGTGCGGTCAACTAGACTCTAAAGGACTCTTAACCAATGCTGTTTGAACGGGTCGTTTTGTCTTTCACATTGGGAAAGGTGCGACGATAGTAATTTTGGATTCCCATTGGGAGCTTGGGGAATAAAACTAGCCCAATTCTTGAGATTCTTCAAAGGAGGGCGTTCCCGACAAGTAGGCAATGGGATGGGATCCGATAGGCGACATTCCAACGGGCGCCCCCATCCCTTCGCTCGTGTCACACGGGATGTTTTGCGCGCTAGGACCTACATTCGCGAAATTGGAGGTTTCATATGGAGGAGTTTATAATGTCTTTCTTTTTTCAGTTTGTTTGGCTTTCTAACCTTGAGCGCGCGCCCAGTACGGCCTTGCCGACGCTGCTGTCGTGCTGCTTCTCCAGCTCTTTCGTTATCCACGACCCAATGTCAGCCATCGCGTCCAAATCAACTCCGGTGTCCATTCCCAGACTCTCCAAGAAGTAGACCATATTTTCAGTAGCCACGTTTCCAGTCGCGCCTGGGCTGTAAGGGCAGCCGCCGAGCCCTCCGACCGCACTATCGAAGGTGCGAATTCCGTGCTCCAGCGATACAGCTGTATTGACGAGCGCCTGGCCATACGTATCGTGAAAGTGCATCGCTATATCCTCGTTCCTGATTCCTGCAGCCGTCATACACTTCAGAAGCTCTTTCGTCCGGGGCGCTGTACCCATGCCTGTAGTGTCTCCCAGAGCGATTTCGTCAGCTCCCATCTCGAGCATGTCCGTCGCGATTTCCGCAACCTTATGCGGGTCGACATTGTACCCCTCGAACGGGCAGCCGAGGACTACCGAAATGTAGGCGCGGACTCGCAGGTCCGCATTCTTGGCCCCTTGTATGACCTCCTTAAATCTCTGTAATGATGTCGCGATATCGCAGTTCAGGTTCTTCTGTGAAAATGACTCCGTTGCTGCTGCAAATACTGCGATTTCTATTTCAGGCTTCCTCGTCGGAGACAGGTCGACTTTAGCCATCGTCTCAGTAGCATAGGCATCGGGATGCTGGCTAAGGATTGTCGAAGCATTCGTCAGGCCCTTGGCGTTAGGGGCAAGAAATGAATAAGTTAAGGGTGTAGGGGATTGAATGCTGTTCTTGAGGATGTGTTTGAGGATCTCGTTCGAGCTATCCATCTAAGCAAGGGTCAACCTGAAGCTTTATTCCCTTTGCTATATGGGATTTACCTGTGGCACCCATTTTGGCGAAACGAAGGAACCGGCTTCTATGGTTCTCACCCCGGTCCTCGCCAGCCTTTGTATCAAGTCGATCTTTGTGCCAAGCGATATTGTCTTCTTCTCGTTCTGGAGGCCATCGCGAGGTCCAACTTCGACGATTTTCACTTGGGTGTCGAAAGACGGTTGCCCAGCACTGTCAGTGGCAGTTGCGAAGGCCCGGACGTTGCGGCAACGCCCGCTGCGAATTGCTCGCTGAGCAATTGGTCGTAATAGCTTCATGTTTGGCTACCGCACAAGGAGCTGGCTGCATTCAAGTATCACCATCGCCAATGGCCATGAAGCTCAATGAAGCTGCTGGAGTAGGTACGGACACGCACCCCGTCACACCTCGGATACTGTCGGTTAAACGGCACGTGATTGGGCCGCTGGTACGTACGGTGTTAAAGACAGTAGGCAAGTAAGCGCACTGTATGCGAGTTTTCGTTACACAAGCATCAGTTTATGCTTGTTCAGTGTCTTTTGACGCCGATTGAGTCCTCATTTATCTATCCATAGTGATAAGCTATTACACATAGTAAGGACATGCTGAAGAATCTGTTTCCTTCTCCTTAATGACTGGATAAGCTTGTAGATGCCCCGCCAGCAGCCTTTCCTTGAGGTTCGCAACACTCATGTCTCCTCACTTTATATAGCTGAATCGGAATCACCGGGTTAAATCTCAATGAAGACGAGTAGTTCCTCAGCGCTATGCTCTTCAATTTCTCGTGAGTATGAGTGTGACTTTAAATGACGGTTTGGAAGTACTATCGGTCTCTACATATATCGATTCGATCACATGAGCGACAACAAAGGAGTTCTTATCCAATCATTGGCCAACCAGGTATAAAATATTTCTTTAATCAAAATTACAGCTCTCTATATGAAAATGTCCACTGAACTATGGCGCAATGTCATAGGAACAGTACTTAAACAACAAGATTGATCGGTACTAGCAATATCGAAAGAATGAGATCATGGGCTTTGAAAGGAGAAGAAAACGTGAATATATCTCTTCGCCCTATCGTGGAACTCGGGAGTGAAATCGTCTTCCTTCATCCGAAGAAGCTTATCGCTGACGTAGAAACCTTCAGAATATTTCTTAAGCCGCATATCTCGGGTGCCGTTTATCTGGTGATCCAGGCGGAGAAGACGCTGAGAACTGTAGGTCACATATGATCATCTGTTGAGTTTCCGAAGCAGTAACTTTCATCATGATGGTAACCCCGAGTCATATGATGGTGTTTTGCGCTGAGTACGGTTATGATGCGCCACGTTGCATTGAGGAGAAGTCGGCGTGCGGCGCAATTCACATCGGGTCCTCGGCATTCAAAAGTGCCATCATGAGAGGTTTTGACGATCGTTACGGTTGTTGCGGCCGCCTATTGAAGGTGACCTCGCTTCACCTCTGATCGCCAAGCTGGGCGTGTAATGATTGGTTGCCTAGTGACGATCCTTAACTAACCCTAGTCCCTCTCCGCCTAACACGAGGCAGAGCTGTGAGTAACTTGGCTACCGGAGTCTGCCGTGCCTCAGGGTTCTGGTGCCTATGAAATGACAAGAATCCAAAGAACTGGCAGCTCTACAATTTATGCTTATTTGGCATTATTTTGTGAGTTTGCAATAATTAGCTGGTGCCTGTGAGTTGTGGGGCTGAACAGGTCAACAATACACTTTAGCAGAGCAAGAGACTCCCTTAATAACACCGCAAAGTGGACTCAGATATCAAATACATCTTAGTTCCTTCATTTCAGTACATTCTCGAATCGCTGGTCTTGTTCATGTTGGATTCACATGTCTTTCAGGAAGAATCGATGCCAAGTCATAGCCCAATTCGTCGTTTGAAGGCTGGTTGCTCTTCAGGAAAGTCGTATTAATGGTTCTTTCGGTGAGATGCTCGCCGTCAATCCGTGACCAAGACGTCACCGAATCCTGTCAGAATGGATCTCAGCGCTGCAGATGTGAGGAATCTGTCGGCAACTGATCGTGATGGGAAAGGTGATCGGCAGCGCAATGCAGGGGTCCCTCTTCAGTCTAGTGATCGCTTTCCCCGCAGCTCGTGTTCGATGGTGTTAAAATCACGGCCCTTGTAAGGTCCACAGCAGCAGCTAAAGCTGGTGTCCTGCACAGTAAACTGGCATGGCGGCACGACTATGACTTCAGCCCCTCGACCCTTTGTGCGTGCGCTTGCAAGGGGGCGTTGTCCCAGCGGACCTAACGCCTGCAAGCGTGTAACTGCAGGGACCCTTTAGGCTACTCACGAATCAGACTTACCTGGTATCCGGTTTTCAGCAGAATGGCCGCTGAACTAGGACGTGCATCGTCATTGATCTTCACTCGTAAATGACAGTCATGACCGCCCTTTCAGGGGATGGCTGGTCCGCAGCGGAGAGCCCATGTTGTGGTATATGAACCATGATATTCTCTGCTGGGTTTCTAACGAATCTCCTCGTAATTCTGTGCCAATCGCTTGGTTTCAAGACCCTTAGTTCGCAGGACATTGCAATATGAGGCTCTCCGGCGGTGTTATTGGCTTTCTCTACGGCGGCGGCGCCGTGTCAGCGCTAAGCCTGCCGAACTTCTTCCCGCGAGCCGTTCGGCATGTTGACCTAGCCCCGTTCGAGGAGGGTAGCTTTACGCTACTACCGCCCGAACAAGCGGCGGCAGATGCCCAGAAAGAAGACCAGTTCGATGCCTCCAAGGTCACTCAGCCCAGTGAAGTCGGCACTGGGAGCATGGGGACTGAGGCCATGGCGGCCGGCGAGGATGCTGCTGCTGCCGGCACCTGCGAGACCCCGGCCATCCGGACTGAGTGGCGCGACTTGGCTGATGCAGACAAGAAGGCGTTTATCGATGCCGTCAAGTGTCTTATCGGGAAACCCGCCTCTGGCAATTTCGAGAATTCGCACAATCGATACGAAGATCTCGTATGGGTGCACCAACAGATGACAAACGAGATACACATGGTTGCCCAGTTCTTGCCCTACCACCGCTACTACTTGTCCGTCTTCGAGGCCGAGCTTCGCGATCAGTGCGGCTTCGAGGGCGCTCTACCGTGGTGGGACGAGACGAAGGATGCCGGCAATTTTGCCAAGGCTCCTCTCTTTACTGACGACTACTTCGGGCCACTGCCTGCAAAGACGGAAGACGGAGGTACCTGCATCGAGACCGGGGTTAGTATCGATCTGACACACTCTTGAGAGCAATGTTGACTTCGTTGATTCAGGCTTTTGGTGGATTGACCCTGCACATTGGTCCAGGTGGTGCTTTCACTGATCACTGTCTGTCGCGTGCGCTGGATGAGTCCTTGACCGCCCAGAGTAATAGCGACTTTGTGTCGAACTGCAACTCGCATTCGAACTACAGTGAGATGGAGAGCTGTGCCGAAATGGGGTAAGAAGACAAAATAGTCCTTTATAACATCGGAACTCTGCTAAATCGACACAGCCCACACGCCTACACCCACAACGGCATCGGCGCCGTAATGGCGGATGTAGCATCATCCCCTGGTGACCCTATCTTCTTCATGCACCACGCCTTTGTAGACCATAACGTAAGCAAACGCCAGCGTTGTTAAATCATACAGAAAGATACTCACTCATTACTATTAGTGGCGTATCTGGCAGAATCCGGACCCAGATAATCGCCTGTACCAAATCAACGGATATAGCACAAAAACAGATCCTAAGCAGTCATTGACTCTTGATTATGTCCTCACTTCAAAGGGTATTAGACCAGATGTTACTGTCCAAGAAGTGATGAATACTCTGGGTGGATATCTCTGTTATCGGTACAATTACTAGTATGCGATATGGATGATCATGAGAGGAAGATTGGTGGAATGACATTTTTCATGACATTTGTGTGATGAGGCTGCATTTGTATGAGGGTTGATATACCTTGTAAGATTTGGCGCATGGTATCATTGGGCGTCTCGGATCATCCTGTCGCATTTCATGAGTTACGACCTGCATGTCACGGACGAATAGCTCTAGTCTGGAAACGGATATGATTTCTAGAACGCTTGAAAAAGTTACTTTATTTACAAGGTATTTTGAAATCAAGCAAGTCTCAATAACTGTCATAATTTATCCCTGTATCTGCGAGGACTACACACTTCGGTCTATGTCACTCCAACCTATGTGTAACAAACAAGAATTGCCTAGTCTCTTCAAAATCACACGAACCCGAAGCTATTTCGCTGGACCAATGATCTGCTTCCAGCTCTTCATGATGCAGGACTCGATTTTGAGGTCGTGCCTCAACGAGATTGGATCAAAAGGCTGCGGGAAGGTAATCAGAACCCCAAAAAGAATCCCGCTGTGAAGTTGACGGAATTCTTTGCTGGGAAACACGATAATGATGGGAACCGAAAGGGATTGATTTATGATACGACCAAGACAGAGGAGGCCAGTGCTACATTGAGAGGGTGCATCGATTTGATATCCAGTGATCTCGTAAAGAAGTTTGTCAGTTGCTGGCAAAACGATTGGGAATTAATCGAGTAAAAACTACATCGAGTTATCAATAATCATCTATATTGAGAAGGAAAATCATTATAGTAGCTTTTTCTGTCAGAATGGCCTACTCCCTTGCAAGTCAAGTTCTTTCGCTCTTTTTCTTCCTTAGCAAAGGAGACAGTGGTGACTTTTGCGCCACATCGGGGATCTCCTCGTATCCAACTCTCAGATACAAATCTTTTGCATTCTTTTCTGAATCTAGATACAAAGCATAATTCATATCATCAGCCATCTTATTGCCCAGATTGAGCAGCAACGTGCCATAGCCTCGCTTCCTTGCCGACTCGTGAGTTGCAATGATTTCTAGATCTGGAGGTATTCCCTGTGAGTCTCTGGCTCATGGTTCCGCTTGCTTGACTTACAAATATGCTCCTTCTCACCCATTGCCATGTGGTGCTGCTCTGCCATGGCACTGAAAAACTCCTCGAGCTTCTCATGGCTCATTGTCTCCTTTGGTGCGGGCCAACGATCTGCCCAAGTCGACAGTCCTTTGTCCTCGGGTCGAACAAACCAAAATAGAATCGACGAGGCTGGTTTTCCTGTCTTCTGTCAGCGGCACGACTCGACTTGATAAAGGCAGCACTAGTACCGGTCTGGTCTCGTATTACGAAGACTTGCGACTTTTGTCGCCCTTCCTTCCCAGTAATAAAGCTCGCGTAGGCTTCCTCGATGTATGTGCATCCTTGAAGTGTCTGTGGGAACACAGGCTGGAAGTAATCGTCATTGAAGCCCGAGAAAAATATCTCGGCAATCGCAGGAACATCGTCTAGAGTAGCTGGTTCAGCCACAGGAGCCATCTCAAAAGCACCTTTGTTTGAGGCCGGTGAGTTTGAGCTTGGTTTTGATTTTGGAGCATAGATGTGCGTACCTAGGCCCGGAAAATATATACATGACCTCCTGTCAGGGTCTTCGCTGAAGCAGCTTGATTTTGTGCCACTATCGTCCCGAACAGGACGGATCCCTGCGCTGACGTGAGCCCCGATGGCTGCCGGTGAAAGCGGCCGCCAAGGCCTTTGAAGTTGGACCCCGGGAACTTCGCACAACTACCTAGGTAGCATCGGAAAAAGCGATGACCTGCATATTTTGGCTGTTTTGCTGGCTTATGATCATAGTGTTCTCGCCGATAGTCCGAGATGCAACGCACAGGTTCTTGGTCCCCATTGGCTCATGGGGCACAGTTTTGGCGCGATTCTCTGAGCAATCGGCAGGTGGCAAGCAGTGATCAACTTTAACAAACTCTACCTGGCGATTTAATTGTGCCGAGTTCTCTCAAGAGGATCAGATTGAATGAATGTGCTTGCACACAACGGTTGTAAGCGAAGGACGATGGTGAGAGAGAAGGTGATAGCTGAAGATGTTTTCGTTCAATGCTAGGCTAGATATTGGCCCCAGATGCGACCAGAAGACCATTTGATATCCACGGTCTAATCTCTAAGCGTTGGTATCTTGAATGGTGGCCATGCCGGCCATCCTATGCAATGCCGCCTCTCCAGCGCATTCCATGCCACCCAATACTCTAATGCAGAATGCAAACTAAACCCAAACTCCTCTCAATGCAAATGACGTAAACACCATGCCGCTATGCAATGTGAATATAAAACTCAAGTGTCTTGACAATGCTTAACATGAAACCCAGTACGAGTGTGTGGCCTTTAGAAACCTCCCTGGGGGTTGGGGTTGGGGAGGACGTTGCCGTCGTTCAGGCCAGCGCTGACAGGTGGGATGATTGTAACGTTAGTATTGGCTGCCAGCGCCTTATGAGCATCCAGCGTGTTGGGGCCGTCGAAATTTTGGTTGATGACTCCAACCATACCGCTTTTGCAATGGGAACCAACTGTCTGGGCGCAGTAGTACCAGATGGGCGCCTTGTCCTTGACCACGATCTGGAAGACATCCGGAGCCTGGCCCTCGGGGGTGGGCTGAAAGCCACTGAAGAAGGCATTCTCTTGTGGCACGCAGGGGGCGGCAAATGATGACTGCGCTACACTGTGGTTCTTGGGGAGGAAGTGCCACTCGACAATGTCGCCAACCTCAGCGACAACATTGTCCGGGTCGAACCTGAGACCACCGAGGCCAGCAACGACGGAGTGTGTTGTGCCAGTGAGTGTTACGGTCTGGTCAGGATAGGATCGGGTAGTGGCTGTCGGGGCGGCTGACACGCTAGCAGCAGCCAGGACGATAGCAGTGAGGGTCTTGACGGTGAACATCTTGATAGTAAGAAGGTATAGTAGTCAAGAAGTTTACTCGAATGATGATGTCGCCTTGGGTGACGGGTATTGATGGAGATGAGTGTGATATTGGTGATGCTGTTGATGATGAGATCGATCAACAATTTTACACTCGGCAAGCCCTGACTTATATCGTCGAAGCTCCATCGTGAACATCATCAGCGTTTATCTTACACTGATTAGTATGAGGGCCATAATAGACACCTTCGCGCGTGTATAGCCATCCGGAAGGACAGCAACCATGGCGAGGCTCAGAATGTTGACAGTCAGCAGTAAGGGCGGTGTTCACGCGGCCGAGCCACTGCGACCACCTAAATTTTGACTCGGCAGCGCCTGCCAACCCATCTTCCACAGCACGGAATTTGGCTTGCCCGGACCCAACACGCGAGGCTAGCAGCCGGATAGGTCTAGAGACCAGTGCTGACTTGCCTGCGCCTGTGCCTGTATTGCCCAACAGTCGGGCGGCCAAAGGCTTCGGCGTCTAAATTAAGCCCAATACCCGGGAGAGCTGGTGGTGGCGGAGCAGCCAAGCCGGGGCTTAGCAATTGGACGCCCCTGGATGCTAAAATGGAATGCGGCCGGATCTCTGAAACCCGACACCATCAACCTACCTAATACCTAGGTAGAGGTGTTTGTTAGCCGCCAACCAGCTGTCAGCCAGCTGCGACCATGTCTAGAGTTGTGCAAGTGACTATTGACATCAAGCCGTTTCAATACAAAGAAGTCTCTCAAGTTCCTATATGAGGAGATTACTTGCACACGGGATGTAATATACTGTGGAGACATAATTATATTTTGATATTCTACTGAACCTTTGAAAGAGCCATGGCGCTGTTTCCGAGAAAGGTTAGAAAATATGAGCTGAGATGTTGATCGAATGCCTTACATACAAAAGTTGTGACAGTTGAAACAGACCAAGCAAATTTCCATACATGAACGTACGACACGGAGAAGTTTTTTTCTCTTCCTGTTAATGATGGCTTGCTTTTCTGGATTATTGTATTCTTTGGATTTTAGATCCTCGTTCTAGCTAGCAACATTTTTTGCATGAACGATCGAAGACAAAAAACCGAGTATTGCACCAAAAGTTCATTCCAAGACAAACTGCTTAAATACTAAATCAGTGTTGACCACTTTCGAACCATCTAGACTAGCTACTAAACCGCCCCGTTCCTGGACCTTGTGCCATTCTTTATAGCTCTTGCGCTCTTCTCATCCCAGCGAAACTTAAACAACACTTTGATATCAAGCTTCTTGTCAAACCGCCGGTACGCCTCCGGGGCGTCCTCGATATCGTAGACTCCCGTAATGATAAAGTCTAATTTGACTCGCGCATGCTTGATGAGCCCATTCAGAATCTTCTCATTAGAAGTGATCTCGACGGGCCCACCTTGCATCGTGATGGACTTGGAGAACCAGAGCGCCGTAGGAACTACAAGCTCGGGGCTCATGGTGCTTCCATTAGGGACTCCGTCACTGCTTGGCTGGCCGAAGAAACCGCCAATAGCACCGAAGCCACCCTTAAAGGAAAGACACTTGATCGCCTGAGTGATGACGTAGTTCTGCTCGTTCTTCAGCTTCCCGTTGAGACATTCTTGCCCGACACAATCCACGCAGCGCTGCACGCCGTTTGGCTCTAGAGTGAGAATCTGATCCGACGGATCGCCTTTGGTAAAGTCGATGGGGATCGCACCGATGGAAGCTGCCTTATATAATCGGTCTTGGATGTGGTCGATCGAATAGACCTTTGCCGCACCACGTAGAATGGCGCAGTATGCGGTTAGCAGCCCCACTGGCCCGGCTCCAAAGACGGCTACGGTGTCGCCGGATTGAAATCTGGCATACTCGAGTCCTTGCCAGGCTGTGGCAAAGATGTCGCTCAAGAAGAGATACTCTTCATCTGATGCATCTGCGTCTTCTATCTTTATGAGAGACTCATCCGCAATAGGGACACGCACATACTCGGCTAGCGGGTTTTGTCAACAACGTTGTGCCAGAGAAGGAGATCTCAGCAAAAAAGACTTACCTTGGCATCCACCAAGTGTCGGCCCCAATACGTTGCCAGTGCCGTAGGCCGAATAGTGCATTGGGACAAGCTCAGGATCGACGATGAGGACATCAGGATCGGGACTGCCAGGAATGACAACGCGATCTCCCACTTTGAAATGCTCGACAGCTGGTCCAATCTCGGTAATAATGCCTACGGCCTCATGCCCTAGGGGATAAGGCACCTCGGTGCCTCCAAAAACGCCATGATATATGTGCAGCTCAGTGCCACACAATCCAGCCGTTGTGACGCGTACGACAGCATCTTCCTCTTCGACTATTTTCGCCTTTGGAATACTTCGTACAGCGACGTGGTAAGGCTTCCCGTCCCACATCACCGCTCGCATCGTTTCCTCTCTGTCTGCCATTGGAATAATATGTTGAGCGTTACACTTCTGACAGTAAATGAATAGTGTTAAAGTATTTTTTATTGGGCAAATACTAATACCAGAATATGAGCATCATAGTCATCCGAAAAGAGATCTGGTCGTCCTTTTAAGCATTGAAATCATCGACTCGGCTGAGAGCGGCTTTGTGAATGGTTGCTTCCACGTAATCCAATCTTACAAAATGTTCCGGGATCAAGCCGAATGGCCACAGATCACGCGGGTTGCATTGCGGCTGGAGAATCCCTTGGAGGTCATCATTTCCTCACGTACGCGGCTCCTACAGTGTTATATTTGGAAGAGAGGAATCAAAGAATCGTCAATGTTCAAGGATTAGACCGGCGCTGACCAATTTGTATGTGAATATATATCCTTAAAAGGCGTGTCTCTGCTCGGACTGGCGGACTATCGGGTTGTTGAGAGTATAGCCGACGTATTGTGCAACCCATAGTAAGAGGAAGGATGACAGCCCTTTCAAACCTGGTGAGGTCCCTGCCCCAAGGCCTTGATTGGCCTGAAGCCTATAAACCCTGCCTCAGCCGCAACGTAAGAACGCAAGACAATTCTAAGAGATGAGTCGTCTAGTCACGAGAGGTCATCATGGCTAAGAAATCGAAAGGAATTTACGGGAACCCTTGTAAGTATCGTCTACAATCACAAAAGCCTTAAAGCTTAGACACAAAAGAAGCAAGTGGGCTATGTGCAGAAGATCTTATAGTCTCTCAAGGGTAATCGCGAGCCGAATGCATCAATACCGAGCAGTCTACCCACTTATTATGTGCTAACCTGTCCCTTATCGCTGAATAACCTTTTAGGTAAATGCTTAGATGCTGGCGACCCTCATGACACAAAACATTCGAAATGATTAAACTTCGCAAGGCCATGTGTGGAGCTCAAAACATTTGAGTCTAACCGAGGTTCGTGTTCTTTTCCGTGAAGCGGTCAGATTTGATGCCGCGCGTCTTTGCACTCGTCCGTTATCTCGGCCGAATGCAGTTTGACCATGACGCACAGCAAAGTAGCAAACCCTGACAGATTGATCAAACTTGAAGAATTAACACTACAGAGACTAGGGCTTTTGTGATTGAGCTAAAAGCCTAATTGATACGGTCGTAACTTGTAGTAGACATTTGAACTGTGAAACTAGCAATTTGCTCTTGAAAGTTCCGGACTTAAATGCTGAATCGGCCTGGGCATTCCAGATACTGCGGCCCAAGATAGATCTCAACGCTCAACTAGCAGCCATCTGCTTCCTATTGGCGATACCTTTATTAATCATCAAGAACTCGTGCCACGGTTTCGATTGCGGAGGTAGGTATATGGTAGACTTTGCATTCCA